AAAGCAGGTCATGTTGTGGTGGACAGCATCACGGGAAGGCATGGAAGGAGAATGTGTTCTTCCCACTGACCTGACCAGCTGTGAGTCAACAACACATGAATCTGAGAGGTCAGAGTCCCCACAACGGAACCCTCATCTGAAGCCCCCACTGCTAAGCACTGCTGCACTGGGAACCAAACCTTCCACATGGGAGCCTTAGGGTGATGTTTAAAATTCAAACCTTTTACAATGTTTACAATGTATCATTCTATAATACAGAAAAAGCCCCAGGGGGCAAGTTGATTTTGTGTTAGGGTTTTCACTTTGTATTTGAATAGGTATTGACACCAACTATGCCCTGAAGGTTTTCGTAGAATTTTATAAAAGAAAACCTTAGTGTAACCTCGGTCATTGTGGTGCTACCTCATTCTTTCTGCTTCTTTGAGGGGAAAAATGTTAATTTAGGGTTCTGGCCTTCTGGGTTAAGTTTAATCAGGAGGGAGGGCAGTGGAACTACAATTCTTAAAATGATACCCAAACTCAAGTGTTTTTTTTTCCTTTGGAAGTTGTATATAATAGTAAAGTCAGCAATTATCTGGCCAATCCATGGGAAAATGACAGTTTTCTTGCGTCAACGGGATTGTAATTCTATGGTCCAGTTTCTGCTGCGTCTTGGGTGCTGATATCTGGCTAGCTTACCCAACATCTTGGTCAGATATTCCAAGGAGCAGGCAGCCTGTCCTTCTTTACCATAATTCTCTTCATCTACCGCTCATAATTAGTAGTGAAATTTATAAAGCTCCCTTTGCTTACTTTCTATATTTTTAAATATTTGATTTAAAAAGTTGGATCAGTGACCCACTTCTGAAAAGTCAAATCTATCCGGTGACATTTCATGTAAACCCAGATCTTCTTATAAATAGTTATGTTTTTCATTTTGTTGTTTTCAAAGCAATTTTTGCTTTAGGAACAAGAATCCCAATCCTAGAATTATTCTACATAAATACAACTTATACTTTCCAAGGTTTTCCTTTTGCCTCTCTTTGCTAAATGTAGACAAGTCTCTAGTCATCTAAACAAACAGTGGTCACATCCTAGGGTTTCTCCATTCTTCTATTTCTTTGGCATAAATTATGCTCTACAGGGTTGGCCAGATGGGCCAGCCAGTAAAAGTACTTGCTGTCAAGCCTGGAGACCTGAATTCATTCCCTGGGTCCTGCCAGTTGTTCTCTGACTGTCACACACATGTTGTGACATCCAAACAAGCACATGTACACGTACAAAATAAATAAATGCAGCAAAAATTAGAAATTGCTAAAACAATAAAGTATAATCTGCTTTACTGAGGAAGAATGGTTTTGTCCCTCTCCATAAGCAATACTATTCCACTGCTATACAATGACCAGATGACACGGTTTAAGTCTTAGTGTGTATGATGAAGGGTTTCAAGCCCACTGTAGCTGAAAGTCAAGGACGCAGAATGGTGAGGTCTTGAGTGAGATCAGTTTTCTCATTTGCTGCTAATTCTAGTTGAATGTTCCTTTCCACCATCTAAAAGTTCAGCATTCCCCAGAGCAGGTTGGTGGGTGTGCACTTGGCATGTTGTCACCCCTAACGCCTCATCTCTGGAGTTGCTGGAGTATCACTTTCTGGACTTCTTACTCCCTTCTTGCAACTCTAGCCCCATGGAATTCTACCCCAGCGGGATGAAGAAACGACACTGTGCAAAATGCATAGCAGGCCATGCTTCTACACTAACGTTGTCTCTCCCAGTGAGTAGGCAAGCGTCAGCAGTTCCCCGTGACTCACCCAAACACTGCCCCTTTATTACATTAAGGCAAAAGGTTGGGTTTTCCATGGGCTGGATAATACAGTGTGGTGGTAGAATAATATCTTAGGATGTTACCCACCAACCCAGCCTCTGTGGTTACGCTGCCCTGTGATCCTTTGGCAGTAGAGCAGTTGAACCACACAGCATCTCTTGACTTATGGGGGAAGTGTGCTCATGGAGTCAGAAGTCAGCCTGTGAGGGTCCAGTCTCAATTTCTTTATTGAAAAAATGCTGCCCACATGCAAACCCCGGTACAGATGCTTGATGACTCAAGTGGAAATCTATTGCATCGGCCTTCTGCTCCTGCCTCTCTTCTCACCTCAAGATGAAAAGCAACTCCACACATTGGGAAAAGGAATATCTTGGAGTGACTAAACTCTGTGGAGATGACTTGTGGCCATTCATACTCTGGCAAGAACAGTATTGAGGGAGGCCAAGAAATGGACACAGGTCTATTCTGGAAAACAAGTGCAGAGAGAATGTTTACCTTCTGTTTCCTGGAAGAGACAAAGGAAAGAAAATTCCTCAGAGCATAAATGGTTTCAAAATATCTCCAGGATGCCTCCAGAAGTTCCTTGGCCCAGCACTGGAGGACTGTTTCTGCCTTGAGTAAACAGGAAGGGCAGGCAGCTGTAGGAGGCCCACGTGAGTTTTTGTAGTTCTAGAAAGAGCAAGAACAGGGACTTGATTCCCATGCACCCAGCCATTAGGCTCAGTGAGCTGTCCTGAGAGGACTAAACTCCTGCCTCATCTACTTGCTAATACGCACCCTGCTGTGGATTCCAGGGCAGCTCTCAGGGGTGGATGTCATCCAAATGGTAGTAGTTGTGTGTTTCTTGAAATCCCAAAACAACTCCATGGAAAAGGGCATATATATATATATATATATATATATATATATATATATTGTGGGTGGACGGAAGTATGGTCACCACATTTAGCAGTCCATTTTAGATATAGCAGCTAAGGGGGAAAAAGACAGAATTGTGTCCTGGATATCTGAGCGCTGAATGCACACTTCCAGACCCACTGTAAGAATTCAAGCCAGACACACTTGAAACACATTTCAAGCCAAGAGACACGAAGAGAGCCTTCAGCTACACCTGTCCCAGCCCCAGCCGGCAGCATTTCACTCCACACGCCTTCTGGGAGTGGGAAAAACTGGTCTACTTAGTCTGTGCTCCAGCCCAGAAGCGCATGTGCTTACCTTTAGCTACACTAGACTGGAGGGCTTCTGGCTTCTGGTAATCACTTTCTCACCGCTGCGGTGTACACCAGCCAGCCAGCCATTCTGCCACCGAAGCATCCTGTTTTCAGCATCTCTCTTTCCCACCTTTCATTCTGAGGTTCTTAGTAAAGATATTCTAACCCACCCTCAGCGGAACACAGGCTATACGTTGTGACTTCCTGTCTGGCTCTAAATGGCAAAATTCACTTTGGCTAAATCATTCCCCAGAATGCCTTTCTTTTGTTTATTTATCGACAAGGTCTTGCTTCAGCTCTGACGTACTGGGATTGCGGGTGTGAGCCGCCACACCGGGCCCTTTCTATCATTTATAGACAGTCCTATCCTCAAACAGCTACTTACGTGTGTCACCAGGTCACCTAAGGCAGTGCTTCTCAACCTTCCTAACGTTTCGACCCTTTAATATAGTTCCTCATGTTATGGTGATCCCCAACCATAAAATTATTTGTGTTGCTACTTCATAACTGTAATTTTGCTGTTATGAATTGTAATGTAAAAATCTGTGTTTTCCAATGGTCTGAGGTGGCCCCTTATGGAAAGGTCTTCCTGAAGCCCCCCACACAAACAAAGAAGTCGTGACTCATGAGTTTATAATTGTTGATCTAAACCTTCAATGCTAATTATTTTCACTTTTACTTTGTCTCACATTTTCCAAAAGTAACAATAATTCTCACACGCTTTCTGATCCTGCCTTCTCCATGCACCTTCTATGGCTTGGAGGATATGCTTATATCCCTTAAAGCCTCACTTTGACTAACAGAACGTCACAGGAGTGACACTGTACCAGTTTAGGGGCAGCAGTGAACCTTCCATTCTGTGATAGTCTCAGTTACCTGGACAGGCCCTGGGGGACATATCCTGAGCAAAGTTCAAGGGAAACCCTCTTCTATTGAGCCTGGGAAACCTAGAGAGCCACAAGTCATCAAGAATAAGTTGCCTTGGGGCTGGAGAGATGGCTCAGTAGTTGAGAGTCTTTTCCTGCTCTTGCAGAGAACTGAAGTTTCATTCCTGACACGCAAGTCTGGCAGCTTACAACCAACTGGAACTCAAGCTTGAGAGGATCCAGCACTTTCTCCTGGCCTCTGAGGGGACCTGCACTAATGTCTGTTGGGGAAGTCCTGTGTATATGTCAGTAAAGCACTGCTGGCCAATAGGGAATCAAGATATGTGGGACTAGGAGTCCAGAAGAACTCTGGGAATAAGAAACACAGGGAGTCAAGATGTAACACCATGGGGTAGGAAGCCCGGAAACTTCTCCGGTAAGAGACATACTTAGATTAACAATTATGGGGTAATTACTTAAGTCAGAGCTAGCCAGTAAGAAACAAGCAAGGCCAACAGCTTCATAATGAACATAGCCTCCTGTGTGTTTATTTGGGACTGATGCGGCTCTAGAACCAGGCTGTCGGGAAGGCTTCTCTCAAGGAAAAAGTTTCTCTTTACAAATGTCCACACACTATTTCACAGTCAAACTTATAATCCATTTAAAAATGTATTTTTCTCTTAAAAAATAAGCTGTTAGAAGCCATTGAATCATGTTAAAATGATTTAGGAAATGGTTGGTTTACAAAGCCCCTTTACCATTAGTCTTCTACAAAATGAGACTGGTTGTGTCTTTCCACTCTTTGCATATGAGTCTGACACCAGAAGAAGTCAAGAAGGAATAGACAAGTCCCCACCATGTACTGAACACCTTTGATGTTGGACTTCAGCCTTCAGAGATGGTCTTTATAAATTACACGGGCTAGGGTGTTTCCTTATAGCACCTCAGAGAGACTAAGATCGAATGGTTCCTGTGTAGTAGTAAAGCCACTGGAGCAAAGGCAATCATCATGTTGCCATGTTAATTCATCATGTTGAGTCAGGGCAGGAAGTGGTGACTGAGCACAATTACGGAGAGAGAGGGCAGAGGGCACAACAGATGAGAACAGCCAGGCCCTTGAGTTGGAGTCGGAAGAGATCAAGTGACAGTTTAATCAGAGACTAACATGCCATTCCACATTGTCATGGGGAGATATCTCCTCCAACATACCATAGGATCTCAAGCTATGAAGTCAGAAGTCTCTTCTCGTGTACCCAGAGGAGAAGAATTTATGCCAGGGCATGGATGGAACTGGTGAGAAAAGTTTATTTCAGCAGGAGAGTAAACAGAATGATGTACACCTTCCAGAGGGGAGAATGGACCAAGCCAAGTGCGACCATATAGGCTGCTTCTGGTTCTCCTGTCCTAGCTAACATCAGCAGTCAACCTGACATGCACCTAGAATCAGCTAGAAGAGATAACCTCAACTGAAGAATTGCCCAAATCAGATTGACTTGTTGACAAGTATGTGAGGCATTTTCTAATAGCTAATTGATGTAGGAGGGGCCAGCACACCTTTGGTAGTGCCATCCTTAGGCCTATAAGCCTAGACTGTATCAGAAAGGCAGCCGAGCAAGGCAGCAAGTAGGGTTCTTACATGGTTACTTGGAAGGCTGAGGCAGGAGGATCTCTGGAGCAAGGGGTTTGGGGACAGACCAATGAGAAGCTGTTCTGAAACATGAAGGAGTTCCCATGCAGGTGGCTGGTCCCTGAAGACTCTCAGATGCCCAGTTGCACCTCGGTTGTGGCTTCCTATCATGCTGTTGCTGATGAATCCAACACCAGGAAGTAGAATTCACGGTCATCAGTGGTGAGTTTGCTCTTGGGTCTGAGGACCAAAACAGATGTGGGTTCAGTGCAGCAGATCCAAAGAGGAAGATAAAAGAACTCCATGAACATCTGAGGATGCACTGGTCTCTTATGTGGGAAGGAATCACAGAAGCTAAGGGCAGACATCATCTTCCATAGTCCTTCACCATCAACAGGCAAGAGAAGGTTCTTGTTTGCAATCAAAGAAAGTGATCACTGAGCAGATGTGTGGAAGGAGAAATAATCTCCCATCAGAGAACTGGAGAAGGCTGTGTTTCATGTAAGAACCTAAATAACGGAAGAACTAGTCTTTCAAAGTATTTAACCATTAACATGCCCAGAGCCTGTCTGTTCCTAATGTTCCTGGTATTGAGAGAGCAGAACTAATTAATAAGAAGTGAATAAATTCCTAACACTGTCCATAAAGCTTACATGGTTTTATTAGAAGTCTAAAACAATGACTTTTGTAACCTGATAAATGGATATGTTTTAATACCCAGATTCTTTGATCGAATTAATAATAATTCCAAAGGAATTAGAACAACCACAGGCTATATCCTTTTCATCTAATAGCTTTGTTTGTCTGAAATACTATGTTCAAAACTACCAGCCTGCATGGACTAAACAATCCCACGGGGACCATGCAAGGGGACACCAGGGGCATGGGGCTAAACAATGCTCTAGAATATGGGGAGTTTGTCCCAGAAATTCAATCACTGCTTACCTTGTCCATAGCTAACAAACAAACAAACAAAAGCAAACCACTTACTTGTTTGGATTTCACACACACATTTTGTTTTGTATTGATTATTCTCCTGTGGAACAGGATCTGGAAAACAATGGACTCCAAAGAATTTTGATTTCCCAGCTACCCCATGTGGGGGAAGGGGTGCCAATCACTGGTGCCAGAGAGGAAGTTGTCTCCCAGGAAGAGACTCCACACTGTACTGGTGGTTAAAGCTGCCTAATTCCTGGTTTTCATGTCATCTTTTCTGTAAAATTGCCAAAACAATAAATGCACCCATTTCTTTTTCCAGTTTCTATTTTCTAATTTTTGAAAACAGTTCTCTACGAACGCATCAGGTTTATGTAGGAGTTCACAGGCCTAAGCCCAGGTGTCACTTTGCTGTATCTACTGTAAGAACATTACAGCTTTCATTAGAGGTGTTTCATGGGGAGAGGGTCTCACCTACAGAAAAGCTGTAGACTGGCCACCACGCGGCTCCTGAGTCCTGTGAAGAAATCGTTCCTTCCATCCTTGCCTGGCATCCAGAGGACTACTCTCAAGTCAGGCCAGCGGCACAGGTCTGCAATCCAAGCACTCAGGAGAGACGGAGACAGGAGGATCAGCAGTTGGAGACCAGGCTCGGTTCACAGTGGATTTCTTGTGAGATCCTGTCCAAAAATAAAAATCATAAAATCTTCTGTGTGAAATATCCAGACGAGTTATATTCTGTGGTTGATGCTGTTCATGTCTTGCTTGAAGACACTGTACTTAAGGAGGTTTGCTGGCTTCTCTGCTACAGAGATTCTTTTTCTCTAGGTCATCAAGAATTAAAACTCACCTCCACACTATCAGGCATGGCCATGATGTAGAGAGCTGACTGCAAGCTACCATTGGTGTTGGGGGCTAGGGCGCATGTTACCTGATGAGTCTGTTGTTAGGATTCAGGCATTACGCTGGCCTGCCCCCTGTCACGTGGCAGGATGCACTCAGACAATACCCTAGCCAGCCCAGGGTCTTATGGCTGTTACGTCACTACTTAGTCTGTATGCGGGTGCAAAGGTTTCTTTAAGAGACAAACTCTGCCCACCTCCTGTTTCCGCCATCTCTCTGAGGAGGCAGAAAGATCTCTGTCTGTTTCTCTGATTCTTTTCTCTCTGTGTCTCTGTCTCTCTCTCTTCTCTCCGCCCCCCTCTTCCTTCCCCGATCCTTTTCCCTTCCCAATAAAACTTCCTTTTCATGTAAGTTCTGTCTGATGGTGTGTTTGACCCTCACCGGGTCATCTACCCCCATCCTACTTTGCCTGTGGCAATCTGAGCCTCCATATGCAAACTTGGCCTCCCCTCCCCCTCTCTTCGAAATCTCATGTTTGGGCATCCTACATTTTAGCAAGAACTGTACCACCTGTGTATAATAGAAATACATCAAAATCAAGGAAAACGATCCAATTTTTCAAGCAGATAGCCATCTCCTTCGCAGAAAACCATTCTGCGCATTCCTTCATAGGCATACAATTGTCCTTGCATGTACATAAATATTTTCTTCAGGTGCTGCCTTTCAGCAAGAAAACCCTTGCAGGTCTAAAGTAGAGCTCGAAATAGTGAGCAAGCCTAAGGGGAAGAGTCAAATTGAATTTTCAACTTAATTAACTCTAACTGTAAGGCCCAGCCTAGTTGGTGTATTTGAAAACATAATCAATTATGATTTATTTAAACTCTGCTTAAAATGCATTTTCTTCAGTCTCTAAAAACCCTGTCACAATTGCATTCTTTTCTAAATGAGCAGTTTATTGTGTTAGTTTTAAGTTCAAATCCGTACAGTCTAGCTGTAGTCACATCTCTGTAAGGTTAACCTCCAGCACTTACCGTTTTAGAGCACTTCCTGGTGCTGCTGTGAATGTGGACAGCCGTCACCCGGGCAGGTTTTAACATTGCTGTTGAAGATGTGACCTCGGAGCCTCTTGTTTATACAGCAAACACTTTCCTAACTGAGCCACATCCCCAGCCTTCAGTCTTCTGTTTTACATGAGATCCCAAGTCTGTCCAGATTAAGTCCTTGCTTCTTTCTGGATGAGGTTTTACAGAAAGCATGGGAACCAAATCATGAATCATTTGTCCTGTGGGGACATTACCCAGTGAGTAATTTCTGTGAGTTCTTTGAAGACTTACTAATCTTTCCTGTCGGGGCTGGGGCTACCATGGAAGAACACGTGCTTGCACAGTGCCCTGAGTTCAGTGTCCTGCATTCCAAAGAGAAACTTGTAGCCAACATGGTCCCTGCAGCATTTGTTTTAGTAGTTCTTGCTCCCAGTCTGCACCCACAGTTTGCAAAGAAGAATGAAGGCATGACTGTTGCCAGAAGTTTCTGCCCCCCTGGACCTGCAACTGTTTAGTCCCAAATAAACACACAGAGGCTTATATCAATTAAAAACTGTTTGGCAGATGGCTCAGGCTTCTTATAGCTAGTTCTCTCTTAATTATTAACCCATAACTATTAATCTGTGTGTCTCTACATGGGCGTATTTTACCGGAGAATACCCAGGTGTCCTACCTTCCTGGTAGCTACGTGGAGTCTCCTTGAGACTCACTCTCTGAGTTCCTCTTCCCAGCATCCTCCTAGTCTGGAAGCCCCACCTACACTTCCTGCCTAGCTACATCCTGCCTGTCCATTGACTGAAACGGTTTTATTCATTAACCAATAAGAGAAACATATATTCACAGCAAAGAGGACAACCCCCATCATCTCCTCTTTTCTGTCTAGATAAAAAGGAAGCTTTTAACTTTAATTTAGTAAAATTATATATAACAAAACAGTTATCAAGGAAGAGCTATAGTTAACAATAGCATCTCTCCTATCTTTGTGAGTATAAAATTTTATGTGTAACCTATCTTTTATTATAACTAAGGAAAACCATAACCATAACTATCTGTCTTCAACTCCATCAAATACCTCAGAAGGATAATATATAAACTCCAGAATTGACAAAGACATCTCAGTGCCTGGACAGTCACCCAAAGTCACCCTCTTCAGCCCATAGGCCATAGTGTCTGGCAGACTTTTTGATGAAGCAGGAACCTTAAAGGGCCATCCCATCCCTTGGCAAGTTCAGTAGTCACTTTCCTTTGTAATCTGTGTGTCCAGTTTGGACAGCCTGCTGTCAAGCAGTCCAGGAAGGAGCAATTGCTTGTCCAAATGGCTGTCCCTGCCATGTTGAAGGCAAACTCCATAATGAGTTTCTTCCATGCCCACCTCCTCTTCTGAGGTACTTGGTGTTGCCAGGAGCAGTTGTGTCTCATTGTTATGAAAAACCCCAATAAACCATCTTAAATGCCATATTCTGTAGGTCTCTGAAAGGTTTTGAAGAATACCTATCCATTTGAAATATATCACTATATATCTAGAAAACCTGACTAACATAAGTTTTCACTATTATAGGTGACTATCTATAATCTGTATTAAATTATACATTACATTTTTAAAAGAGCTGTATGAACCCAATACCTAAACAAGAGGAGAAATATACATATAACAAAATTGACCTTAAGTTTGTACCAATAAACCAAAATCCATAACCAATGCAAAGTATTCATTTCTGTATCATATTCCATTTTTTTATTTAGAAAGAGATTCACTGTGATCATTAACCATTTATAACCAAGCCTGTTTAAATGAAAACAAACATTTATAAACAATATTTGGGAATGTGAGCATAGTTCTCTCCAAACTGCTTCTTGCTAATTGGGGGGCTTTCAATCCCAAGGGGATCCTGAGAAAAGCCAGAAACCTGTCCAAATCCTGGCTGTCTTAGTCTGAGTCTGTATCCTCCCAGCTGTCCTGCAGCTTGGATCATCCAGGCCACTGCTTCAGGAGGTACTGCTTGATCAAACCATGTTAGTCTGGAAGGAGTCCACAGCTTTTCGTCTTCTGTGGAAACAAAAGAAGAACCTCTTTTCTAAAGTAATGTGTCCTTGGACATAAATTTTGAAGTCAAGAAATTTTCAAAATATATAGATTAGATTAATCCAGAGCATTTATAATCAAATGTCTTTTAGCAGCTGTTGTTCCTTCCTCAGCAATCAAACAACTCAAAGGCAACACAATAACATACAGTGTGCAGACTCTCTGTGTACATTCCATCTTTATGTGTTTTTTTAATTCTGTTTCTTTTACTTTTATTTTTTTGTTTGTGTTTTTGTTTTTTTTGAGACAGGGTTTCTCTGTGTAACTTTGCCTGTTCTAGAACTCACTCTGTAGACCAGGCTGGCCTTGAAATCACAGAGACCCACTTGCCTCTGCCTCCCAAGTGCTGGGATTAAAGCCGTTTTAATTACTTAGACCAATTAAGAACTCCATTTACACATTTCACCGGTCTCTTCATCCCAATATCCAGAGAGTAAGTCTGTTGGACTTAGTGTGAAGGGGGCTTCTGTCTTCTTCCCGTCCCTGCAGAACTGATCCAAATTAAGTTATCCAACAAAAATAAGTTCAAGTTGTAAATGCCCAGGGCACCAGGTTTGAAGGATAAAGATAAAAAGGCATCTTCACAGCTTTCACATGGAGTTTTCAGCACTGGAGGAGTGATGGGTCCACCAGAATCACTATGGTTTCATCACTGTAACCATGAACACACCTGGGATCAGTAGGATAGAGCAGCAGCTGTCTAATCTGTGAAAGGGTGTGTGAGGGGTAAATTGCAGTGTGGACACTGTAGCTGGTTTTTTTGGGGGGGGGCTGTCTGGGCTCATTTCACAAAGCTTGTCACAGCCTGATTCTGACTTATGGAGACATTTCAAACAATCTCTGAGAAATTCTCTGTGTGTATGTTGTTTGCTCCCGATGGTAATGATAATCCAAACCACACAGGAAAATCCAGCTACCAGCTCTAGTCAGGAACCGATGGCTTCAGAGTGCCCTTTTCTCAGTGAACGCCTGCAAGAATGAAAAATGTTCTGATTTCTCAGCAACCACGAGTGTCATGGAGCAGCCAGCCCAACCTCCTGTCCTGGGAACTCTCATTTGCCAGCAGCTGGGTCTTCTGGTCTCCAAAGACACATGTGCCATGAGCTCAGCCTTTGTTCACATCAATTAAAGAACCTGGGAGCATCACAGCCTCCCCCTTCATGGAGTCTCTCGGGATGTCTTCAGTGTATTTCCATAGAGAAATGTGTGGGTATGAAAAGTATTTGGGGGAGTAAAATCAAGGCTCCAAGGCTCTACAACATCTACCTTTCTCTCCTTCTTTTGTTCTTTGGGAGATACATGTTCTAGAAACTTGGGTCAGTTGCTCATCAAAACAGTACCTTGGCAGGGCAGTGGTGGTGCACACCTTTAATACCAGTACTCTGGAGGCAGAGGCAGGTGGATTTCTGTGAGTTCCAGGCCAGCCTGGTTTACAGAGTGAGTTCCAGGCCAGCCTGGTCTACAGAGTAAGCTCCAGGACAGGCAGGACTACACAGAGAAACCCTGTCTTGAAAAAACAAACAAACAAAAAACAAAACAGTACCTGCATTCCATTCTTAAGAAAATATATTTATCATGTTTTGACTTATTTTCTTCTATATTCAAAGATAACCAAATGTCTGTGGCAACCTCTCTTCTTCCTGTGTATTCAAAACCACGCGACACTGAACAGGCACTCCAGAAAGGTCATACCTGTGCTGAAGTTGGACTCCAAACTTCAGCTGGGGAACTGGAATGTTGCCAATCCAGACACAAGTGATCTGGGGTGGCCTTTATCACCTTAGTATTCATTCATTGCCCAAATCAGAGTGACCTCACATCCTTGACTATCTGTCACCAAATCAGAGTGACCTCACATCCTTGACTATCTGTCACCAAATCAGAGTGACCTCACATCCTTGACTATCTGTCACCAAATCAGAGTGACCTCACATCCTTGACTATCTGTCAAAACCTGTGGAACCCATCATCAATAAGCTAGCAACCCACAAGTACCTTCCACCCCCAAAGCTGAGAGTACCCGAGACAGTGGAGCTTTCTTTTGTTCTGTGACCCTAAGACTCGGCAACTCTCCTCACAGGGGAGTGTGCGTTACAGCAGCCAGAGTCTGTGCTCTCTGGCTGTGGCCACTTGTGTTTTGCTCACAGCACACTTCTTCCTTCTACCAAGGTGGGACTTAGTTCAGGATCAACAAAACTAGGCTACTGTCTCAGTTTCTGGAACTGCCAAGAACCTCCCAGAAGCTTTTCTGAGTACCCGATATCTACCTGTAAATAGCAGCAGACAGGAAGCTCCAGCGATGGACCATTGTTGTTGAGCCCTTGTCACTTAGGGATGTTTGGTTCACTGACTTTCCCTGATTTGCAATGGCTCTTCCCATAGTCTTTCCCACCAAGATTAAATACATTTATGTTCTTAAAAATGTTTCTGAGAAGTACCACTCATAAGTTCTTGAAATGGAGTATAACAAGGCTTTTTAAAATCTATCTCACTTATTCATCTGTCTGTCTGTCTGTCTGTCTATCTGTCTGTCTATCTATCATGCGTGCTTGTGCTCTCCCACACACACTGGGTGTCAGGGGACCTTCGGCCATGTGGGCCCCTGGGATTGAACTCAGGCCTCACACCAAGTCCCCTTGTTCACTGAGCCATCACACTAGTCCCTCACTGTGACAGAACAGAAGAAAAAAATCATCTGTGCACATTTCTTTCTTTTATGTAAGATTCACAAGAACTGTAACTTGTTAGATGACTTTATGCATTCAGAGGGAATACTAATTATCTTCGCCTTTTCTTCTCACATTTTGCTGCAGTTTCTTGAGGCAGGGTGTCATGCAGCTCAGGCTGGCCTTAAATTTTCTATGTCACTCTAAGGGTGACCTGGAACCTCAGAGCCCCCTGTCCACCTCTCCGGTGCTGAGATTTGAGGGTTCCTCACCATGCCAGGTTAAAACAGTGCCAGTGATAGAAACCAGACCTTGATGGGACCATCACTTAAAATCCCATGGCTTTGTTCTGTCAGTTCTCCAACACGATATTCAAGAATGACAAGGGCAGACAGAATCTGTCATCTGATTTTTACTTACTTTATCTGCAATGAACAAAGTACCTCACTCCTTAA